AAATCACGTGACCAATCACACATTTGCGAGAACCAAGAGGAAGTGACTTCATGATTACGAAAGTTATTGCATGCTTCAGAAGACAAGAATTTTAGCATGATCCACATTCCACCCATGTAACATATTTACATATCACAAAAACCTTGTGCCATACACATATCGTTCATCACTTGAAAGTATGCGAAGTCTTTCACACAGGAAATGCACACCTTATAATATTCTTCCTTGCTCACCACAAAATCCCCAAACTCTAAACATATTTCATTCACCATCGGTTTGGATATGACGGATTCCAATTTAGGCATAACCACAACTGCATAGGACAATTTCTCGTTTCCTTTTTCAATCTGTTCCACTGGTTTTTTCACATACACAGCCTTAACAGTAGGTTTCGAGGCATGCTCTTATTGAATCACATTGCCAAAACAATCACAGATCACAAAAGCGGCAAACATCTTATACGAGCCAGTCCAGATGTTTCATAGATTGTCAATCAAGGTGGAGACATCGTCAACTTTGAGAAACCTAATAAAACCGAATCATTTTCCCTGCTCTGATAGGTATTTGTGGATATAGACATCTACAACTTTTCCATACTGCTCACACAACCTACGCATACCCCGTCTATCCACCGTGTACGGATAATTAGTAATGAAGATGCTAATGGAAATCTTACTTACATCTTGGAAACTCGAATTCTTCTGATTTGTAACCTGTAATCGAGCCAATCGTTCAAAAACATCAGCTTTTGGACGCTCCAATCTATGAAACGTTGGGTCCTTGTTGCGTCGCTTCACTTCCTGCCAATCTCCTGTCATTGATATCAATTATTGGCGTTTGATCCCGTCGGAAATCACAAGCCATCGATCAGGTTTGCAATTGCTGGAATTCTCGCTCGTCGTCGAAATCGTCGGAATTCTAATTTAACCTTTTTTTTCCATCAAATTACAATGTTAACTTTTTATTAATCTATCATGTATGTATATACTTTCACCATATCAAAAGATGACACTCAAGAGTGTTGTCATCTCGACACTGTATCATCAAAACTTCCATACAATTTATCTAGAAAATACTTATCACTTTATATCATCATATCACTTTTATTTTTTAATTACTTAAATACAAAACTTTATAAAATAACTATTGCATTCAGAAAATTTAAATACAAATTGCATTAAACTTAAATAAAATTTACATAATTTTTAATATTTTCATGAACTTCACTTTCACTGTTAAAATCATCTTGAGGTTCCCCGAGATAACATTATCAACGAACGTCTTAAAACTGACATATTAGTTAAGATTTGATATTCTTTTTAATCTCCACTTTTAGCATTATCAATACAAGATGTTCATCAAACTTTGCCGCAAGAGATTGCATGTTACTTGGTTCGGCTACGTTTTTTTCCCAAAGATGATGCCCCTTGTTTGCCTTTATTCATTCCAACGGCTCGTTGAAGGGGTTCTTCCGGTGGAATCTTTTCGACACTATCGCTGATGTCGATTCTTGTACCAACGTCCGACATTTGGTTGTAGTCATTTGATTCAGATGTTTTGGACCGTTTATTGGATCCGAGTGATAGCGAAAGGGCATCTGGCCTAAGCCTATTTCGGACCCACTTTCAAAATTATCCAAGTTTTGTGATGGTTAAATGCTTTACCGCCGTTGTAGTTCCGATATTGTGTTTGAGCGGTATTTATAACATCTAGAAAACTTGTTCCGGTTCCAATTTTATTCATATTGGTAAGATTGTTGAATTGGATGCAACTGACTCTCAATCGTACAATTTGACAGAAAGAACATTGTTGTCATGATAAGTTTGCTTATGATTAAATATTTTCTCATCGTTGTTTAGTTAGCTTGTTGGATGATACCCCAACTTTTTTTGTTGTTGCATATTTAATGGACATGAGTTTTTAATTTGTTCCTGTGTTCAACTATTGTATTTTTAGTGTAAATTAACTTAGGTGTGTACCCGTAGGATAAGGATTCCAAAAAAGAGAACAATCATAGTCGATTCCAATTTGATTTTATATATTTATATCTCTGAAAACCAATAGAAAAAACGTTTTATCTTATAATTAGAGTATGCTATTGTTTTGTCATCCACATACTCAAGGGGTCATCAACTTTGGTTAGATAGATAGGGTGCAAAGGATTGGACACGTGATTCCACGTGATGAAGAATACATGTCTTCTCGTCTTTTTAGAACAAACATGATGACTAATTCATGTGTGAATGCAAAATACATAAATCGGGTATGCCAAGTTGCTTACATGAATCTTGTGACACATATATTAATAGTTAAATAATCATATATTTTTGTAACCACTTTTTATTATTAAATTTAAATGTGAACACTTTGTAATGTTATGATTATGGTTTATTTTTGTAATGTTATTAAAATTCGTAGTCAAAATTACTCAATGAACAAAAAAAATTTATGTTATAGTTGATTACTTGCTTTTTAATTTCCTTGATTTCAAATTACATAATGTATTTAAAAACACAATTCCAAACATCTCTATAATCAGTTTTATACGATTTTTAATAGATATGTATATATAAAATACATATTTTATGGTTTTTATAATGTTTTCCGAAATAAAAGGAAATAAAACGAGTCTATAGGAGACCTTCACGTCATGTGTCAGAGGAGTGCGGAAATTTTGATTAGGTCGTTTGTTTGCCAAACATTTGATGAACCTAGATTTGCGTGCATCATGTGAGTTACTTTTAAGATAAGAGCAAAGCAATAAAAATATATTTCATGGGAAGTAATTCGTACACAACAATTTTTTGCTACACAACAATTTATGCATTATAAAGTTGTACAATACAGCACTTTAAAGCACAAATTGTTGTGTACGGAGAAAAAATGTTGTGTAAAAATCAGTTCCCATATTTTACTGGAGATAATGTTTTAATAAAAGAAATTGAAGATTTGTATTCAATAAAAAGTAAAAGAAAGGGTACATGCGTTTAATTAGACGATATGATTAAAAATTGCAAGTATCAGTTAATATGTCAAATAGTTTGTTTGGTTTTAAATTAATTATATCCCTATTCTAAGTATTTATCATCTAAATGCAAACGGATCTATTCATCTTAACATCATCTTGACCATGACATTTGATTTTTAGGAGAAAAGATAACAATACCCTTTTCGTTTTAGGATTTTTTACAATTTGGACAAAATTTAAGAAAACTCCTCCTATCTACTAATTTCACAATGTACCTTAGAAGAAGTATTAACAATTTGAAGTGCACAAATTCATAACATAGAAGTCGGCCTATTTAAGCAGGCCTAGGTATGGGTAACCCAAATACTAGCTGTGGCCCAAACACATTTGCCTATTTAACAAATAAATAATTATTTTCGTTTTAAAAAACAGTTTAGAAATAATTTAGATTTATCGTTAAAAAATATTTTATTAATAAATTTATAAAATATAATGACGAATAAAATATTTTATTATAAACCCTAGTAAGAATTAGTTAATTACCATAAGGATTAATACCTTAAAAACCATTATTTATACATATCCGTTTCGATTTAACCCTAATATTTTTATTTGTTACTTATTTGCCATTAATTGTGTTGACTGGTTATGAAAAGTCAATGGTAGCCGGTGTCGTTGGTTTAACAGGTTACCTTAACCTTTTACATACCCAAAATCCACTTTTTCCCCAAAACCTCTCATTCACTCGGTTTAACAGGCGTTCTTCCTCACACATCACGTCTTCTTCTTTTCCATGGCTTCGTCTTCAACAGCTTCTATCAGCAAATCGATTTATCGCACTAAGTGTGATTGTGGTGATCAACTGCAATACTCAGTTTCAAGAACTGATAAAAACCTAGGAAGAAAGTTCAAGGCATGCCCTAACTATAAGGTAAAATTGAGGGATTTTGTTTTCCCATTTTGTTATCTTTCAAAAGTTAGTAAATGAAGCTTTTGTTGGCAGGGTACCAAAAAAGGGTGTAAATATTTCAAGTGGCTTGACACGGAAGAGATGGAGTTTTATGCTAATGAAAGGGAGCCCTATAACGAAGTTGTTGCTAGTGGTGTTCTGCAGGTGATCAAGTTGTTGAAGTTTGTGTTGGTGATGTTAGTGGTTATTGGAGTAATTTTGTTAATTGGCATTGTATTTTAAGAACCAGTTGGTTAGGGCAGTTGTAATTTTTTTGTATTTGGTAGGGTTAAGGTTGTTGTAGGTTTGTTATTTTGGTTAGGGCAGGTGTTCAATGTAGTTATGGTAATGTTTGATGGAGAAGTGTATTAATAGTAATCCAATCTTATTTATGTCCCTGTGATTTGGTAATTGCATTATAGTGATTAATTACAATGTAGTTATGGTAATGTACTAAATCTTGTGTAAGCAAGTGAAATGTAGTAGAACTTGGTAAAACTTGGTAATAACTGAATGTACTAAAACAAGGAAGTAAAGGACATTAACTGGAATGACAATTAACATATGATTGTAAGCAGGTGATCAATGTAGTTATGGTAATGTTTGATGGAGAAGTGTATTGATAGTAATCCAATCTTATTTATGTCCCTGTGATTTGGTAATTGCATTATAGTGATTCATTACAATGTAGTTATGGTAATGTACTAAATCTTGTGTAAGCAAGTGAAATGTAGTAGAACTTGGTAAAACTTGGTAATAACTGAATGTACTAAAACAAGGAAGTAAAGGACATTAACTGGAATGACAATTAACATATGATTGTAAGCAAGTGAAATGACAAGCAAAGTGAAATGACATTAACTTCAAATACTTGCATTCATAATAACATAAAAGGGGGTGTTACAATCAGTACCAAACAACCAATTGCCCAACAATCTTTTAATGGCCATTAACTACCAATGTTCAAAAAGGACTAATTGAATACTACTAGATGTTGATATACAATTGGATGGTTGTTACCAAAAGCTGATGAAATGTTAACAAAAAGGGCAAGCAAAATACATAGTGCCCATGATACCCCTCCTAAATAGTCCTACTCCAAATTAACTGGTTTCTTAATACTAGAACCCCTTCCATCCTTATCATAAACTGCTTTCTTCAGCTTGATCTTCACAATTCTCTCAGAAATCTTCCTTTTCCTAGGCCTCCCAACAACTTGTGTATCTTCAATGAAGTCAATATTCCCATCATCTTCACCAACCCAAGCATTAGCATCTAAACCTTGTATAGCAACTTCTTGCACGGGTGGCACAATCTCATTAACATTTACACCCTGTAAGACATGATGTATTTAAATACCCTATGTTAATCACATATTAGTTTTAAGAAATTTAAAGTAAAGGTTGGCATACCATTTCCAAGTTTTCTTCAAGCAAGTTATCTTCAATCTCATTAACATCCTCTTCTAAGTCTGCTTCCAAGTGATCTTCAATCTCATTAGCATCTACACCCTGTAAGACATGATCTAGTTAATTACCTTATGTAAATCACATATTAGTTTTAAGAAATTTAAAGTAAAGGTTGGCATACCATTTCCAAGTTTTCTTCAAGCAAGTTATCTTCAATCTCATTAACATCCTCTTCTAAGTCTGCTTCCAAGTGATCTTCAAACTCATTAGCATCTACACCCTTCATGTGAACTAGTTGCAGCAGCCCAGAATAAGTTTTTCAACTCTAAACCTGCATGCCTCTTCCTGAAGTTGGCATAAATGTGTCGTGCACACTGCCTGTGTTCAACATGTGGAAGGATAGCTTTCACAGATTCTAGAAGTCCCTGAAATAAGTAAATTCAACATTAATATGGGTTAGACAATATAAATGAATACATAAAAAAATTTGTAGTATTTATGTTTACCTTGTGTTGATCTGAAATAACAACTAGACCCCTTCCATCCTCAACACCCAAGTCATCAACCAACAACTGTAAAAACCAAGTCCAATTTTCTTTGTTCTCTACATTTACTACAGCCCATGCAATTGGATACACGTGGTTGTTAGCATCTCTTCCAATAGCAGTCAAAATCTCCTATTTGATTTGTCCCTTTAGGAAACATCCATCTAAGTCAATCATACGTCTGCACCCTGTATTCCATCCATCTTTCAATGCCTTAAAACATACATAAAAACGTTCAAAATAATTCACCCCATCTGGATTTACGGACACTCCTACTTTGCATGTACTTCCAGGGTTAGATCTAAGGATTTCGTTGGCATAATCCCATATCTTAGCATAGTGTTCCTCCAACTTACCTTCTATCATCTCCCTTGCCCTTACCCTTGCTCTATGACATTGCCCCTTTGACACTTTCACTGAATATTTTGTAAAGACATCCTCCATCATCTCAGGCAGTGTCATTTTGGGCTTCCTAATTATGTCCTTAATGTAGTGTTTTGCTAACCAATTACAACTAACCAAATGTCCAAAATTATAATTCCTTGCACAAAGATGTGTTTCCACCATAGATTTTATCTGAAAAGTACGTTCATTATACTTCCACGAAGCATGGATCCTAAAAGGACATGGTTTTTTTGCATTTTTTTCCCACACCTAACTAGCCCCGTCGAAATTACCCGATACCCGAATTACCCGTCCGATTTTTTCGGGTATCGGGTAAATCGGGTATCGGGTAAATTTTTCCGGGTAATCGGGTTACCCGATTTTTTTGGGTCGGGTAAATAGTACATTTTTTTGGTTTCGGGTATACCCGAATTACCCAAATTATTTTAATTTTTTTTTTGTAGAGCTTGTACTATATAGTAGGTATTTGATCACGCTTAAACTAATATCATTATTATAAAACATAAATATATTTATTATGACAATACGACACTAACAATATTAAAAGTAATTTTTATATATCATCACGTTCTTTAAAACTTAACTGTTTTCTATATTATAGTTTTTATTACAACTAACAAACTCATTATTTTGACGAAACTTTAGAACATGACAAAACTTATGACTACATTTATCTTAAACATTTTAAACTTTTAAATTAAGATCTTTAGTTATTTGTTTTTTTAACATCTTATTAGATTAGATTAAGTCGTTAAAAAAATACTTGATATCTCATGTATTATTGAGTAGAAAATCTCAATGTTCAAAGCTTGAGTAACTTCGTTTATGTCTCGTTTGTTTATATAAACAAGACTAATAAAGCACGACGTATTTATTTCATTAAATTTATTTTTAGGTGAAATTAAAAAAAAAATCATATATGTCGGGTGATACCCGAATTACCCAAACCCGACCCGATACCCGAATTACCCAAACCCGAATTTAGTTTGGGTAGGGTAACGGGTAATTTTTCTAACATGAAAAACCCGAATTACCCGAAACCCGAAAAAATTACCTGTTTAACACCCCTACCCTAACAATTACCCTGCCTTTATCACTTTTCATGAACCAAAGTTGGTATCCATTAGCTACAGCATAGTTAGTGAGTGCAAACCTTAACTGAGCAGGAGACTCATATAACTCACCAACTGTAGGCTTCATTTGGTTCCACTTGACGGTAGGATCGTGCACCCTAAACTCGACACCCACTTCCAAGCCATTTTCATCTTCAAGGTGTTCATGCTCAAGCTCTTCTTGGTGAATGTCTTCAACATCAGCTTCATCGTCCCCTTCAAACTGATTATTCTTTAACATTTTATCATCACATAAAATGTTAAGAAAAGGGTCGTCACACAAGTTAGATGTAGGATTGAAGTTATCTGGTTCAACATCCAACAATCCTAAGTCAAGACGATCATCATTAGACTCTTCTTCATCACGTACGTATCTCAACTTTGTCTTCTTTGTCGCCTTTGATTCTTTACTTTTCATTCTCCGTGATGATTCTGCCATCGAACCCTTGAAAACCTTCAGAAACCCTCTTTCAAAACCCTCTTTTGACGATGATGTTATCTGATAAGGGATACCCCGTTGTTAGTCAGACATGAGGGACAAAGGTGGTGGCTACTATGCACGTTCCCAAGAATTAGTAATCAAGTGAAGAGATGCAACCGGCAAGGAGTTGATTATCGGTTGTTAACCAGGTAAGGTGTAATAAATGGAACGTCATTTCATTAACGGTGGTAAATAAGTAACAAATAAAAATGATAGGGTTAAATCGAAACGGATATGTATAAATAATGGTTTTTAAGGTATTAACCCTTACCATAACTAAGAATAAGATGAAAAGTGGCTACGAAGGAGAAAACATAATTGTCTAAAAATAGAGAAAGGGTTTGCTGGTGGAATGTCGGCTTCTAGTTCTACTATCCTTACACGGCTGCTCCGCCGTGATGTTAATGTTATCATCCTCTTCCTGTGGCCTTTCGCCGTCATCGCACTAATGTTAGCATGATTACCATTACTATTACCAAATTCTGTTAGCGCTTGTTTAAAGCTGTGATTCAACTTTAATCCACAAACAAAAAGTAAAAGAAGATCCTGATGATGATGATGAGAGGGCCGTTATTGATCGGCGTAGTAATCGTTATGGTTCTTGGACTCGCAGTCTATATGAAGCTTTGGACCATTGATTACCAAATTTCCTCCAATGAAACCGAATTAATAAGGTATATACCGCAGATTTCATTAGTTTTCTTCCAAAATTTAACCGACGAACAACGGATTTCTGTAATATATATGTTTGATTCTTCAACAGTATTGAAATTATGAATGAAGATTGAGAGGGAATTTTAATGAGTTGTAAGATTAGGAAATTAGGGTTTAGAATGAAACGATATTTCATAATGTACATCAGCGGAAGTACAATATTGACATGAAATAGTGTAATCGTTGTTGATTTATTGCAGAAGGCAGTTTGATCTTGCAAACAGGGAAGCAATGGATGAATCTGCAGAGTGGAGACTGAAATTCGATGTTGCAGAAGAACGAGCAAATAAGTGTACGAAGGAGCTAAAAAGAGTATGTACATTTGCAATCAGAATTCACATGTTCATGAAAACATCGATTATAAAATCTTTTGAAATACTGCTAGATTGAAGTTTTAATCCTTTAACCTAATTAGTAAATGGGTTCTTGTTTGCAGGTTAAGGAGAGTCTTGGAGATAAGAGTGGTAACAGCATAACCAAAAGGCTAGATATGTTACAGAAGGTATGCTATAGTTTTTTCTTTTGTATCTGTTAAACTTTATAAGAGAGGGGAGTGATATTATAAACTTGTTATCAGGAAAATATAAACTTGTTGGAAAGAGTTGAGACATTAAAACAAGAGCTTGAAGCTGAGAAGATGAAGTGCAGTATGCAGAGGGTGTAATTGTCTGAAGTCTGAATGGATCTATGATTTTGACCAAAGATGGTGGAGTTTGACTTCAAGCTTACACTGTTGTTTTGAGACTATAGTCTGTAGATGTATTGTTATATCCAGGTAAAGGGTTAAATACAGAAGCTTTCATTACATCGACATGAAGTTATTCAAAAGACCATCATATTTAATTCTTTAGCAAACAACCGTTGCATTTTAAAGGTTGTTCACAAAAATGAATATTTGTATTTGTCACAATTTTTGCCATTTACCAAAAGATGACCTGTCTTTCTTTGATAAGTTTTGGTGATGTTACTTCTGTATGTTGAAAAGGTTGTAATTTCAGAGTCTGAATTGCTTCTTTTTAAAGTTTCTACTCTAAAGTAACATCATTTTTGTTTACCTACTTGTTATATTGCATTGGATTTACGCAAAAAGTCCATATTTAGCAGAATGTGTATGGAGTTTTACCATTTCGTACATAGTGTATTGTATTTTGTCTGTATTTTTTTTTTATGCATTATGTGTTTTTATTAAAAGAAAAGTATGATGTTTGAAAAAAAAAATAACAAAAACGTAAAATCCGATAACATAAAGTATTAAATTCGATAAAACATAGATTTTGTTACATGGTGTAACGCATATTACATAGATTTAAAATTGAGAAATTACATGAAATAACCTGTTCTTAAGGGGTGGTTTTACCTTTTAAACCATAAAATTTTGAAAAATTTAAAATGACCATCAGATCCGCAGCGGGTGCTCTGCGGATCCGTTTATCCTTCTGAGGATTTTAACATGCCTCTACAGAATTGAGGTGGCAGCATTAAAGGACAAAATTTTTCGGGGGGATTTTATGGTTCCGCAGAGGTGGCTCTAATGATCACTTAATGACTCTGATGATCGGTTAATGTCTCCGAGGATCTGTTCTTGAGCAAAACATAGTGTCAATATCAACAAGTCTATTTTTTCAACAATTTTTGTTACTTAATAATCATTTTTAATAATTTTTGTTACTTAATAATCATTTTTTCATATAAAATCAAAATAATAATAAAAATTAATAATTTCGTAGAGGTGAACATCGATCCTCAGAGGGGAGAGGGGGGTTTGTGTATCTCTTCTTGAGCAAAACACCTCTACGGATCTATTCTTCGTAGAAACGATATTTCCATGGCAAAATCGGGTAAAAATTTGGGATTTACTAATCACTAAACTATCATACACCCTAATAACATATAATTAACTCAAAAAACGTGTAATTATGTTTTCATACCTAAAAGTTTAGCACTATATTTTGCTCAAGAACAGATCCTCAGAGCCATTAAGCGATCCTCATCGTATGCGGATCTGATGGTCATTTTATAAATTTCAAATTTTATGGTTAAAAGGTGAAAACACCCCTTAAGATATGGTTATTTCATGAAATTTCTTTTTAAAATTATGGAAATTAAGATGAATACAACGATTTTCCCCCATCAATAAATCTGTCTAATTCTAGTATCATTTTCAATTTCATTCACCTCTTCCCAAAGTTCAAAATTCTGTATATTGGCATCTGATATCCGCTTTACCGCAAGTTTTATTTCTTTATCAATATCGTTATTAATATCAGTAACCAATAGCTTTTTTTTCCTGATCTTTTCCATGAAAGTGTCTCTATGTGACATATATAAGTTCACAAGATATTTTTGAATTCCTATCTTAGACTTCGTCACGACTCTACATATTTTAGCAAATATAATCGGACATCATTGGTGTAAGTGGTCCACCACAATAAAAATTCTAATGATCAAGGTCATCATCGGAAATAATTTAATTAAGTAATGAACAATAACATTCTTTGTCTTCACATTATAAGTTCGTTTGTTGGTATTGGAGGAGGTAGCGACTAATTTTCCATTCCTTAAGACTTTTTGGATGGCTTAGCAGACATTTGTTTTTCTTTACAAAGAGAGAAGTGAATATCTATGTTTAGATATTGTATGATCATGTTACGGTTTTAACATGTTCAACAGTAGTTTGAGGAGTTGGGTGAGATTTCGTAAAAAATCAAGTTAGGTGGAAGAGTTGAGTGGATTCGTAAATGTTATATGAAGCTTGGTGGATTTATAGTAGTAGTGTAAGGTGGGAGAGTTGGGTTGAATTTGTTGAAATCCTTAGATGACAAAGACTTGGAGACCAAACAATCTAATTTATGAAAAGTTTTGTTTATGACAAGTTGGTCATAAGTTTTCTAGTCTAATACAAGTTGGTTTGTTAGGCTATATATGCATGTTCATAATCGAGTTTATGATGATGAGAACACTTTGTAAAAACATTGGTTTTGAACAATTTTCCAATTAATCAAAGAGTTATTTTGGTTATTTTGTTTTGCATTCTTGTTTTTTAAACTTTAATTGGTATCAGAGTGAGGTGAAGACTGTGCCGGTTTGAGAATCGGTTTCAAAAAAAGTGTAGCCTTTCGTTGCGGGGTAGACGTAACATGAATCAGGTTCCGTTGAAGGGGGTGTGATTTCGTTTTGATCGCAAGCAACCTCGTTTTGTCTTTATCAGATTTGTTCTAAGGTAGAGAGAGACTAACCGGAGCGCGCGAAATAAACGGATGGTAAAACGTCAAAGCAGGTGACTCCGATTCGGTTCGTTTTACGGGCGACGATAAAGGTGGTCGTGACCTTGTCTTGTTCGGTGGAAAAGTACTCTCAGAACAAGCTTGATTAAAGAAGTCGGGTGGTGAAAAGAGATAATAGGATGTTGATCGGGTTGAAGAAGTCTCTAAAATGACTTAGAGATTCGGGGGGGGGGGGGGGGGGGGGGATTGTTGGAATCCTAAGTCGATGAGGACTTGGAGACCAAACAATCTAATTTATGGAAAGTTTAGTTTATGACAAGTTGGTCATAAGTTTCCTAGTCTGATACAAATTGGTTTGTTAGGTTATATATGCATGTTCATAATCGAGTTTATGATTATGAGAACACTTTGTAAAAACATTGGTTTAGAGTGATTCCAATTAATCAAAAAGTTATTTTGGTTGTTTTGTTTTGCATTCTTGTTTTTTAAACTTTAGAATTTAGGTTGTAGAAGTGTGTTTAGTTAGAAGTAAATGAAAATGAAGGTATTTTGTTCTATATTTATTTGCGTTGTATTATGATTTCATAAAAGAAGCGTATGGAATGTTGAAGTGCTAAACCTCAAACTTAATAAAATAAACGTAAAACTCAATCTAATAAAAAATAAAAAATAAGTAACATGATAGTCTTGACATAAGAATTAAATACTTTGATTACATAAACAAAAATCCGTTCATTAATGTAGTCTTAACGACCATTTCTTCGTTAGACATTTCCCATCAAACAAGGGCCAAGCCACAATCTAAGAATAAATGGAGCCTGACGTCCGAAATTACCAATCAGAAATAATATAATAATTAAAAATACAAAAAATATTAAGAATACAATTAAATTTAAAATATACTTTATCTTATTAATAGAAACTAAAGAAGCGTCATAGTAGAAATCTTTTATCATATTTTTTTTAATTGTGGATTGATACGAATTGCCGTTTTATTTTAATGGGAATATGACTTATCAAAGTAATTAACTTTTCGGTATGTTCACATCTGGGTAACTATCTTTTTTTTTGTACATATGTAGGTAACAAACTTTTTGGGAGTGTTCACATATGACCATTATGACCTGCTATAGCAGGTTAAATCCTAAATGTGAACGCTTTTAATAAGTTTGTTACCTAGATGTGTACAAAAAAAATAGTTACCTAAATATGAACAAAACGAAAAGTAAAAATTAAATTACATGAATGGTCCCTGTAGTTTGGGGGAATTTGTGGTTTTGGTCTCTAAGTTATTTTTTTAAACTTAAATGGTTCCTATTGTTTATTTTTGTTGCGCGTTTGGTCCTCATATTACCTAAAAATACTATTGTGCTCTTATTAATTTATTTTTTAATTAATTTTCTTAACTATGTTTATTTTTTACATATTTATAAAAATTAATATACCACACATATTTGTATCTCCTCGGATGATCCCTACTATTTATTTTTTAATTAATTTAATTTTTTAACTCGGATGGTCCCTACTATTTAATTTTGTTACGAACTTCGTCTCTGTCTTACCTAAAAAGACTATTGTGCCCTTATTAATTTTTTTAATTAATTTTCTTGTTTATGTACTTATGCTTTATATGTTTAAGAAAAATTAGTAGACCTCACATATCTGTATCTCCTCACCATCCCATCTTTCATCATTCTCAACTTCTATTTATTTTTCATCTTTAGTGATATCGACGTCTTCATCATCACTTCTTTTTTCGGTCCTTCAACTCTTGTCGAAACAACACTACAACCCACTAAATATGAAGAGACAGTAGGTTATGGTGTTGGTTCTCCAGAGTTGAAGTACCAAAAAAAAGGACGGTGAAGACGTTGATGTTACTAAAGATGGAAAAGAAATAGAAGATGGGGAAATCAGAGATAAGATGGTGAATGGTAAGACTCAAATTAAATTTCTCAAATGTGATTTCAGGTTTACGGTGATAAGATACATATATGTGGGGTATATTAATTTTTTTATAAAAAATAAATACATAAATAAGAAAATTAATTTAAAAAATTAATAAGGGAAAAATAGTATTTTTAGATAAGACAGAGACCAAACGCGTAACAAAAATAAATAGTAAGGATCATCCAAGTTAAAAAAAAAATTAATTAAAAATAAACAGTAGAGATCATCCGAGGAGATACAAATATGTGTGGTCTATTAATTTTTTTAAATATGTATAAAATAAACACATAGATAAGAAAATTAATTAAAAAAATAAATTAATAAGGGCACAATAGTATTTTTAGGTAAGACGGGGACCAAACGCGCAACAAAAATAAATAGTAGGGACCATTTAAGTTAAAAAAATAAATTAGGGATAAAAACCACAAATTCCCCCAAACCACAGGGACCATTCATGTAATTTAATTTTTAATTTTCATTTTGTTCATATTTGGGTAATTATTTTTTTTGTACACATCTAGGTAACAAACTTGTTGAAAGAGTTCACATCTAAGATTTAACCTGCTATAGCAGGTCATAATGGTCATATGTGAACACTTCCAAAAAGTTTGTTACCTACATATGTACAAAAAAAGATAGTTACCCAGATGTGAACATACCGAAAAGTTAATTACCTTGATAAGTTATATTCCCTATTTTATTTGAATATTACTATTTAGAGTGGGGCCATAAGTGAACATGCCCATAACATTATTTTAAGCTTAGGGGTCAACGGGCCTTTCTCAAACCTATTTGGACTGACTTTGTTATATAATTTATATGATTCGATGGGTATATTTCCACTTCAAGTAAAATGGTTGGAGGGGCGCTCCTAACTCCGCCTCTGCATCAAACAAAACTGGAAGAGGGTATCGATAAAATGCTGACATGAAAAAGAAATTAA